GTGACACTTATGATGCTAGGGACTTAAGGTAAATCATTATGAATGAATAGCTGCTTCCTTTAATAGATGTTTCTAAAGATACAATGACATTTAGGAAGTGGGCCAGGCTCAACTCTATGATGTGGATTGACAATCAACTCTGATAGTAATAATTTAGCATTATGAGAGTCTCAACCTCAAACGTCTTATGTATCTCCTATATTTGATACCCTCTACATAGATAGTTCATATAAGGCATGTGTCAATGCCCTTGTATGTGCTCTATGCTCCAAACTCCCTATGTGGGTGATTCAAGCTAGCATACCCTAACTTTTGTGTATATCTTTTATATAACACCATATATCTAAATGATTCAAGTCGATATGCTCATATGACCTCATGTATATGTAGGATCTGACACCCCGAACATGACCAATTTAAGTTGGCACGACATAAAATTATCATGTCTCCTACATATGAGAGCCTTTACATGGGTGATTCATGCTAGAATGCGTTGACACTCTCACATGTCCATACACTTGACACCACCTATATAAGAGTCTCCTTGTAACACCCTTACATGAGTGGTTCAAGTTGACACATTATCATGTGTCTCCTACAACGAACACCTTTATGGGTGATTTAAATTAGTATGCTATGATAATCAAGTATAACAACCTCTATTAAGTTCAAGTTGCATGCTTTGATGCCCTTGTGCATCTTCACACCTACTATACAAGCAATTGAAATCAACATATGACCTAGCATGTATTCAGTGTTCAACACCTTATACATAAATTATTCCAGTCTACATACTCTGAAACCATGCATGTCTCCTACATTCCACACCTCCCAAATAGATAGTTTAAGTCAACATGCCCGATGCCCTTATATCTCTCTTATGTTTGACACCCCACTATGCAAGTTGGCATGCTTTGATACCCTCACACATCTCTAATATTCGACATCCTATATACAAGTTGTTTAACTCAACATGCCTCAAGAACCTCACGCATCTCCTCTGTTTGACACCCCCTACATGGGTGGTTTAAATCAGCATGTTGGAATGAATCTTCAATGAGTGGCACATATGTTGTTCAAGTTGGCATGCTATAATACTATTGTGATTATCTTGCATTTCACTCCCCTTTCGTAGGTGGTTCAACTTAACATGATCCAATGACCTCACATATCACCTATGCTTGAACCACCTATGTAGGTCGTTCAAGTCATCATTGGTTGATACTCTCATACGTCATGTATTTGATACTTCTTATGTGAATGATTCAAGTTTACACACCTCGATGACCCAATGCATCTCTTGCGTTTGACACCGTCTTGCATACATATTAAGTTGATTTCTTAATATTTACCCTAATGCTATCAAACGTTTTATATACTCTTAAATTTAAATCTTGAATAGATCAAGCTAGAATGTAACTTCCTAAAATTAATTTAATTTTAAACATTTAAAATTAATTTTTTTAATGTTTAATATTTTATATACCCCACCAAAATCAATAATTTTATGTTTACTCCTAATAATTTAATTTTAACACATGTATCACTTTAAATTCTAAAAACTTGCATGTACGCCTAAAGTAAGTTAATTAATTGTATATCAACTCAGATAAACTAATATTTTTTATAGTAACATTTGAATGTGGCACTAATATATGT